CTAGCTGCCTTCCCTCTAGTCTTTCTCTGCTAAATTAAGGACGGCTAGCGCAGATTGCCCTCATGTAGCTTTGCCCAAAATTCAAAACAAACAAAGCAAATATTTTTGTTATTGAAACTAGAATTCCAAAATGAACTTAATTAAAATCACTTTACTTCACTGGCGTTATTTATCTTTGTCGAACATTCTAGTGATAAATAACTTTCTGCTATGACAGAACGGAGTTTGTTGGGCGATCTATTCCGTCTCCTTGTTACTCTGCCTTCACGAAAATTCAAGAATGGAAAAATAGTTTACGATATCCTAAACTTCTTAAAACGAGGCACATGGTTAAGACCCGTGCCTTTTGGATAAGTATAAAACGTGAGTCAACATCTTACGCACAAATCATGTATGTACTTTTTTGTTTGTTTATGAAAATTCGTTAAACAGTGGCGAAAGTATGTCCCTGCGGTTGCGCGCGGGGTGGGGTGGGGTGGGAGCCAAAAGGGGACCGTAAGGCTTGGAAATTTAAGAATTGCCGACAAGAGGAATGAATGTAGGAGACTTAATTATGCGGGGGGGGGGTATATTTTGTAGTTACGCCACTGGCGTTAAACAACATTAATGTCTAGCATAGGTATAGTACGCTATGGCTATACGACTAAAATTTTGACTTTTGATACACATCTGTACTTTGGTTTATTAATAACATCACCAAAATAACTTCCGCTCCCACCATACACACACACTTATGATTATAGCTCGACTAACTTTATATTTCCTTCTACGTCTATGGCAAGTTATTTACGTCTTGCTGCTTCTGTCATTCTTGTTCATAGACTTACTTCTCTATGTTAAGTTACTATTTACTTAGACCTTTTTGTGCTGATTTTAGTTCCAAAATTCGGAATATAAAATCGGAAATTTCAACAATTCATTTGGAATGACAATCACTCTCCAGATAAACAACACTCCATTAACCTCTGACCTCACATCAGTTTATCTTTATATGAATTTATTAGTTAGACCCAGGCGAGCAGCCAATAAATAATCCAGGACAACGGGAAAGCTTGTACTGTCTTAATTGATCAACGGTTCAAAGTGTTAACGTACAATGAACTGTCGTGTTCTAACTCAGATGTTTTAAAACAAATGTATTTAATATAGTTTATCTGTTTCTGTATAACAATAATGAAATTATAGGTTTTGTTTTTATATTTTTAATCACTTGTTTGTTTTTCGAATTTCGCCAAAGCTATTCAAGGACTATTGTAGCTATCCGTCCCAACTTTAGAAGGCAGCTAGTCAACACCACTCACCGCCAACTCTTAAGATACATTTTTAACAACGAAAAGTGGGATTGATCGTCAGATTATAATGTCCCCAAGTCTGAAAGGGCAAGCGTTTTTAATGAGGGGATATGAACTCGCAACCCGCAGATTGCGAATCGTGTGCACTAACCATTAGGCCGCTGTGTTCTTAAATTCCACTATTTAGTAATTGATTCACTGCCAACACTGAACTATAGTGGTATATTTAATCACACTCAGTGTGAAAGTTGGACATAAACTTCTAAATTCTTGTGGAATTTTTCGCGCATGGATTTCCTTCAAATTAGGGTTCGCTAACTGGAGGTTCAGGGACTTTCGAATTTTGGAGTGTGTGTTGTGTATTTCTCCGAACTAAAACTGAGTTTGTCGGAGGCGGTACACACAAAAAAAGAAACAAATCAAAAGTTTTATTTAACAACAAACGAAGCTAAAAAAACATAATACAAATCACAAAAGCAAGTGTTTATTGTAGATTTGTTGAACTGGAAAGAGAAGAGTGAAAAACCTTTGATATTTTGTCTTACCAGATCACTGTTCTCCCACTTGTAAGCTACTCCAAAAGTAATATTAAACGTAAAAGATAAACTCTAAAATAAACGTCAAAGCTAAGGTTATAATGCAAAATTAAATAAAATTCAAGTTAAGCTTCGATCGAGCAAAGTTACACCACAGTCTAACCAAAAGTTATCGCATAATAAAAGTTTAACTCAGGTAAAAGTTATTAAAGTTTAACTGCAAAACTTAAGTGATAATAAGGCCAACAAAGGCAGGTTTGCAAGTCACTCCTTCTTGCACACGTCACCTTCGTCCACTACGATTCGAGTGCAAGGGAGTGGCAGCCCCTAACCAATAATCAATTCGCCGACAGAAAAGACAACCGTCCATTTCATAGCCTCACAGCTATATTTTTCTATTAAAAACAGTGCTAATTATCAAATAGCGTATTCACGTCTCGTGTGTACCACAGAAATGGAAAGTTGAGTTGCTTACTTGAGAGACTCTCTGTGTCCAAAATTGAGGTGGACTGAAAAACAGATTTTGAAAAAGTTACCTATTAACCTACGGGATGTTAACGCATGTTACAGTCCTGTACTCCGATATCTAACTTCAGCAATCTTAAACTGATAGACTTGAGTACTGACATCTAGCTAGTCAACAGCACCAACTCTTGGGTTACTCTGACCGAGTGGAAGGATTTGACTGTCACCGTAATAATACACCCACAGCCTTAAAGTGTAAAGCGCGATGATTATTATTATTTTGTTAGTAATAGAATAATATATCCTAGAATCCACAGTCCTGCATGCTAACCATTAAGGCATGCCCGGCCCTTATAAATCTGACTGATACGTACCAGTATTTGATCTGGAGAATAAATGGAGTAGACTCTGACTATTAGTATTACCTTGTACCAGTACTTCTCAATTTCTTTATTTAGCCGCGGCATAGCGGCTCATAGAATGGCTCTGAGATTTTTCAAGTACAAACTTTTAGCTCATAGGTCCTTTCTTGACCGATTTGAGATCTAATTACCGCCGCGGATATTGAGGATTCTCTCTCGTTTTTTTGTTTATTTATCTCAGCCAATCGCAATGGGATCTATATCCTATACCGCCGCTTCCTTTCTGTAACTGTTCAACATTTCTACGTACCAAGTGAAGAGAGCACGCATACTATTGATTGAGAACCCCTTCCTTCGACGCAGTATTCGGTATAACTTCGAAAAGAAGATGGCTTACGTAAGCTTAATAAAGTTAACATTCAAAACGAATGTTCAAATGAATGTCAGTCAGATATCATAGTAAATCTAATGTAAGCTTGTTTTGAGAACCTTTTTATGAAATAAAACGTTCTTGGAAAAGTTTATAAATTGCTATTACTTTTAATGTCTAGACGATGTCAACATGTCAGTTTGGTGTTCAAGTTAAGGATTTCACTCCAAGACTAGCGTAGTGTGAATATGAGTGTATGTAAGCCTAGTTTAATGTTGTGACTGTCAGAATAGATTACCCGTTTTACTAAAATCTGGAAGAAGTGAAACTTTAGCAAGTAGTTCTGTTGAAGACTTGAAGTTATTAAGATTTATATAACTTATATTATTATAATATATTTTATGCATCTTTTCAGTAAATCTTAATAACTGTGGTAGATCTGTAAAATTTCAGAAAAAAAAAATTCAATTAATTTCACATATAACTATATGGTATTAAGCTCTGTAAGTTTGTCTCATTATTTACATAATTAAATAGTAGAATGCAGATAAAACGTTAAACCCACAAAAATTATAATTTTCTGCAGGATTGATGTTTGAAGCACGTAAAGTTAATTATAAACTTTTTGTGATTGAAAATTCTAGTATTTTTTATGAAATCTTAATTTATTTTTATGACATAAAACAAGTCCGCTTCAGTCGTCCATAATATTCAGAAGTGAAAAATAGAAATAAGAGGATACCTTATTTAAAACCAAATCAGGCAGGCAACATTATATATGGATGAATGTTAACAACAAAACTTATTTAAGTTAACATATATTTTGTGATCGAAATGACAAAAACTGACAACAGCCTAATTTTCATCATTTAGCTCAAGTGAAAAAAAAAGATAGACATTTATAAATCTACATAGAGAAATTAAACCAAAGATGATGGACCTTTATTTATTCATTTATTTTTGATAGCATTCATTAAAACCCTCACTACTCAAAGGTTGGGGCAAATATCTTAAGACAGAAAGACAAATAAAACATCATAATAATTTTTACACTTCGCTTCTAAACGTAATCTGAAATATTTTTATATGCTTTTCTGACCTGACACAGAAGCTTGTAGGTTTACTATATATTCAAAATTTCTGCCTTAATAATCTATTTGTTACTTATGAAAATGTAAAGCATGTTATTTTTACTCTAATAGTCGTTACTGTAATGTGTAAAGCATTTGGAGAGTAAATCTAATTGATGTGCCAGTTAAAGTCTTCATATATAAACCTGCTTTCAATTCCACGTTGCTCTTTACGCCAGAGCACGCGGCTTTTGCGCGTGCTCACATTACAGAGCAGAATTTACTTGCACGCTTAAAAGAACTCAAGTGAGCAGAATTTAGTAAGGATCTGGTGTACGCATCATGGCAGTGAAGCAAAGTTATGCATGTATATTCTTGCTACAGAAAACTAACAGGGTATACATTTCAGAGTATTTTATTCAACAGTTCATTTCTTGATAGTGAGAAGTTACGTATAACAGTTAGGTTTCGTTAAAGTTTCCAAGGCGCGACTCATGCTACGTGTAACACATTGTTTCATTTACGTATACTAAGCCAAGTCCGTACTTTACATGAGTAATCGGAAAAAATTGGTGATACATCGATAATTGTGCACTACTTGGCTCGTCAATAAACTAGCATAGAAATCAAATTTCACAATTTTCCCCAACGAATTATTTAAATTCTCCTAATAGTTATTATGTGCTTTAACAATGTCGCAAAGTTTCTTAACGAAGTTTTACCACGTGGTGTTATAACAAGTATTAATTGTTGATTTGTCATGCGCCAATGTCAATATATGCGGCTAATAATATCCCATGGTACCCTGCGGATTATGATGAACAGTTTTCGTTTCGGAGGGAAGAACGTTAGTTTCAATTAAGTGTTTAAGTAGAAGTAAGTCTTTTTATTTCGCAAAGCGCACAATGTTGGATGTAATTCGTAGCTTGAAAAGTTTGTTGAAGACCAGCAGAATACAGATCGACAGCGATGTCTTTCGACTACATTATGCCATTACCGTAATAGTGCTACTATCTTTCACTGTCGTTGTTTCAATGAAACAGTTCGTTGGTGAACCGATTGACTGTATGAAAAGCCGAGAAGTTCCCCAAAGTGTAATCAACACCTATTGCTGGATCCATACAACCTTCTCTATGCCTAGTGCCTATGACAAAAAGGTAGGTAAGGAAATTCCTTACCCTGGCGTGGACGCAGGGTATTTACCAGGCGACAGTCATACGGAAGAATTTAAACATCACAAATATTACCAGTGGGTGTGTTTTATGCTGTTTTTTCAAGCAGCTTTGTTTTACTTCCCTGGGTGGCTTTGGAAGTTGTGGGAAGGTGGGAGAATCCAAGCTTTAATGATGGATTTGGATATTGGGTTGTTTGCAGAAACAGAGAAAAATCAGAAAAAGAAACTCTTGGTTGATTACTTAACCTCTAGCTCAGGTCAGCACGACTGGTATGCCGTAAGATATTTTTTTTGTGAAGTCTTAGCATTTATTAATGTTATTGGTCAGATGTTCTTAATGAATCGGTTTTTCGACGGAGAGTTTTTAACTTACGGTTTGGATGTTATAAAGTTTTCAGAAATGGAACAAGCCGAGAGATTAGACCCAATGATTCGAGTGTTTCCACTAGTAGCGAAATGCAGGATGTTCAAGTTTGGCTCGTCAGGAAATCTGGAATCACATGATGCTTTGTGTTTATTGCCATTAAATATTATTAATGAAAAAATTTACATATTTTTGTGGTTTTGGTTCATACTTCTAGCAATTCTTACTGGAATTGTTCTTATTTTCAGGATAGTTATTATTGCTTGCCCGCCTGTAAGAGTGTACTTACTAAACTTTCGTTTTCGAATCGTTTGCGTAGAACATTTACAAACTGTTATCAAACGTGGCTCTCTTGGAGATTGGTTTCTTATTTATATGTTGGGCCAGAACATAGATGCAGTGATTTTTAAAGAAGTGATAGCAGAAATGGCCAAAAGGGTAACAACAGAACGAAAAGATGTAGTTTAATGCAGCACAAACGGTCTAACGTCAGACCAACTAAGCCTAATAATATAGTGAAACTTAAGCCTAACTAACTGTTGCATAAATTTACTGATTTTTACAGTGTATTATTAAATCTTTAGGCCTAGTGTAAAACTAAAAGTAAGTTAAGGTACGTATTATAAGCTAAACTAGACTAGGTAAGAACTTTCAACGCAGTCTTACATATTGTAAAACTTATCCTATCGTATAACGATAACTTTTAACGTTAATTTTAAGTTTTAAGAATTTCTGTTTTATAAGGAATTATTGAGATGATTTTTATAACAAATATTTTCAGTTTGAACTTGAACTGTTGAAGTCAGTAGCGTAATAATGTAGGACACCTAAAAGCTTATGTTTTAATATTACTTAAACTAATAAAATACATTTACTTAGCTCTATTTTAAGCTTAAAAGGCATAAAAATGTCTGATACGGGAAGTTGGGAATTACATATTTCAACTTTACTTCTACTCAGACTAGTGTGTGTAAAATTGTTGGCTCTGACTATTTTATTGACATTGTAAACGTTTTGACATTTTTGTACTACAAGTTGCAAAAATCAAGTTGTTGTCATTTTGTTTTGTTGTTACTGGATTTTTATTAGTAAAACAATTATCTATTTAATTATGTGAAAAGTAAGTTCATACATTGTGAATGTGAGGGCTGTACTTTTCTTGTTGAGCCCTCGAGAAAAACATACAAAAGTATATTACAGAGTTCAGCCTTCGGTTAGAGATATAAAGGGTGTTTAAAGAGATATAAAGTATCAGATAAGTGGAACTACATTTTGATCGAATCAGTTTTCCAGTATAACTATAAAATCTACTGATATGCAGTTATTAAATTGAAACCAACCAGACATTTAAGTTTTTTAATAGCTCAGATCGAAGATTAAACTATTTTATGTGTATATATTACAACATGTATCACAACTAATTAGTTTCATTCTTCAACAAAGGTACGTGAAGTGAAACGACGGAATTAATATTGTTATTTTTATGTATACATTTTATGATAAATCAGCAGTTATATTGTGTTCATGTTTCAAGGATATAACAATACATTGTTCAATGTTAGTTAATTGATAAGTTTGTCAATTTATATCTTAGTCTTCTGACACGGGTGAACTGTTTGGGAAGTACTGTTTGCAACAGTTAAACAGTTTTAATATATAAATGTAATTGCATACAAATTCAATATAATATCTGTTATTGAACAACCACCGTTAAATTGATACTACTACTAATAAATATTAAAAACACGGTAATACCCAAAACATCTTTAATTACGGAGACGTTTCGGAATCGCTTCAAATTCCATCATTAGCGTTAAAACCGCAAAAAAGGTTAGTTCACGATATTCTATGTACAAAAAACAACATTAGCTGTTGAGCGTGTTTTCGTATTCAGTCGGAAGTTTAGAAAGAACAGGTTTAAACGATAACAATATAATGGAATACACGATAAAACGTGTGGCATACACGTTTAATAAACAAAATTGTTAAGAGAAAACATTACAGAGAAAGGCTTAAATATAAGAATAAACATTGCATCTTTAAAATAACAATAATGATAATTACCAAATAAAAACTCTGAGAATCTGGAATTAATTTACAATTAATGACAACAGGGAGGAGTTGATGCTATTATTTAGTGTTGAGTCAATGGCTGGTAAATAGTCCCCTTTATTACAAACCAGTATTCCATAGAAGATACGTTAATGATCCTTTTTTATTCCTACAAAACACTGTACTCATTCCTACAGTTTCCTACCAGACTCCTTCCAACATAACCTTGTTCTAAATCTTCTAAATAGAACATATAATATCTGTTCTGACTACTTCTGTCTTCAGTCAGAAATTTCAAAAATTCATAACATATTACGAAGTATCGGTTATTCCTTTAAGTTCTTACACTCCATCACAAGAAAATTGTTAAAATATAGAACCTACCAAAAAGCCACACACTGTCTTAAAATATTCACTAGTTCTTATCATTCCTTTCATTGGCAAACAAAGTTGTAAACTCAGATCCCAAGTTCAAAAATAATCGAAACATATTACCCACAAATTAAGCTATGTTTGGTACTTAAGTCAATATTTAGAATTAAAAATATGTTTAAAACCAAAGACACTGCTTATTCATATGTGCTGGTGGTTCGTATATAAATACACTAGCTGTTTTTTGTTTCATATGGTGTTTCTCACACCTCCAAATTCGTGGTAGCTGTAAAGCTACCTATATTGGTAAAACTCAACGTCACCTACAAATACGGGCACATGGGAATTTCAGTTAGAAGCGGATATAAGCTAACTAAACCACCCGAGTCTTGTATCCGATGAACAGTGATAATAACAATCACCTCGTACTTGTAGAAAACTAAAATTATTGATTCTCGTACCACAGATTACGAACTCTTTATTAAAGAAAGCCTCTTCATTTTCAATGATCACCCAACACTAAATAATTACACCAACTCCTCCCTGTTGTCATTAATGTAAACAATTCTGGATTCTCAGTGTTTTTATTTGATAATTATTATTGTCACGATGCAATGTTTATATTTAAGCCTTTCTTTATAATGTTTTCTCTTAACAATGTTATTTATTAAACGTGTGTGCCGCGTGCATTCTATTATATTGTCACCGTTTAAATCTGTTCTATCTAAACTTCAAACGGAATACGAAAACTCGCTCAATAGCTAATATTGTTTTTTGTACATAGAATATCGTGAACTAACTTTTTTTAGGTTTTTAACGCTGATGATGGTATTCGAAGCGATTCCGAAACGTTCGTAATTAAAGATATTTTTGGTGTTACCGTGTTTTTAATATTTATTTAAAAATAATAATAATAGTTTCGTTTTGAGTTTACTTACTTATTATTAGCATTATTTTATTACGAGTTAGATCTTTTGTAGTAAGGAAAAATATTTTTTTTAAACAGGTACGACGTTTCGTTCACTGGACTGCGATCATTCTCAAGAAAAAAAGCCGGTCGATGTTCAGCAAGTACACTTTCATGAAGTTATCGGTTAAAGTGTTTAATGTAACAAAAGTTTTAAAACCGCAATAACAAAATGACGGGAAAAAAGTTTTGTGGACGTCCACAATATGATTGCTGATTTGTCCCTGAAGAAGAAAGGTCCATCTTTCGAAAGCGCTCGGGTTATAGGGTTTTTATTCATGACATAAAATTATATACGTAACAGTAATCAAAACATTAAATCAATTGTTTCATTTCATGTACCTTCAAATTGTAATTAAGAATGATAGCACCAGTGGTCGAAACGTTGTACCTGTTTTAAAAACTATTTTTCCTTACTGTAAAAATTGTAACTTGTAATAAAACAACCACCGTTGAAACTTTTGTCTGTGTTTATGTAATTCGTTTTAAGCCAACAGTTAAATTGTTTCAATGGAAGAGGAGTGTTCTGTATAGATAAATTGGTGAACATCTGTAAAACACACACACTTACCGTCATTTTGTTATTACAGTTGTAAAAGTTTTGTGAAATTAAATAATTAAGTCAATAATTTGATGAAAGTTGTTGAACATTAACAGACTTTTGTTTTTCATTTTCATTCTTGGAATTTGAAATCTTTCGTTAAAACTACATGTTTGATTTTGGTTTTTAAAAAGGCTATATTTCTTACGTTTGTGTAATATATACTGCTGAGTTACCTGAGCAAGTTACATTATTACATTTTGTATTTAGAATATTTTAATGAAATTTTAACTGAGTTTACGTGTTGTTGTTTTTATAATATAAATTCTATACTCACTATAGCTCTGAATTCCACACATGGGATCATATGCGGTATTAATTGTTACAATAATAAATTTATAGAGTGAATTTTGTTATCAAACATTGTTATTAGTTACATTGTTATTAGTTACATTCTAAGCCTAATATACTATCGTAATATTCTCGCGTACATTGAAGTTAAAAAGGAACAAACTGATTTGATACATAATTGTATGTAGATTTTAGGCTCTTTTTCGTATTTAGAATTACTTGTTTGCAGCAGTGGTACTAGATTGGATACGCTTTTCTTATTTATGATTAAAAATATTTAACCTGTGATAAAATATACTTAGAGGAATTGGAACACTGTGGGGTAATAAAATAGTTTGCATGTCTTAGATTTGAATATTTTTGTTTGCAGAAAAGATGTTTTAATTGGCCCTCGGTTAAAATGATAGTGTATAATTAATTAAAAATCTGGGTGTTGAATTTTTATTGAGTATAATTGTTTCAAATGTCCATTCTTATCTTTTGTTATAAGTTAGTTATCGTTAGAAAAGTAAGTACTGGAACTTATTTTTATTACTATAATGTGTTGAACATTTTTAACCAGTCAAGCCATATGTTATATAAAGTGTTACATGGTTATTGTTAGTATGGATAAGTTATCATTTTCAGATTTTGTGTAATAAGCTGTACAGATACGTCTCTGATTTTCTTCCCAATAAAGTCTTATTGAAGAATGAATTTTTGTTTCATCAGATTGTCAGAAATGTGTCTGATGGAAAAAAAGGATATTATTTGAGGGATTTGAAACTTTTCTTTTTGTGGGGGTGGGTGAAATAGGTATACGTACAGCTTCTAAAAATGTATATACGCTTATAGCGGAAGGGGTTAATGTACGACAAACGTATGTTATACATACACTTCGGAAATACATAGAAGAACGAGTATTGTTTGAGAAATATGTTATTACAAACAAGTATGAATAGTGGGGAAAATATTGATATTCGAGGATTACACGTTATACGTACAGCTTATACAGAAGTACACATAGAGGGGAAGAATTATGTTCGAGAAATACTCTCTCTCTCTCTCTCTCTCTCTCTATATATATATATATATACTAGTTCTAGTAATTTACTACAATAAGTAAAATTTATTGTTTGAACAATATATGTTACACGTATAAGTACG